GTATTGCTGTTTGTTGACTAGTGTTCTCTAAGAAACCTCAGCTTGATTTCTACATAAAATCCCCCAATATGTCAGATAAGTCCCAGACTAGTCCTGTTTTCTAAAAGGTAAAAAGCTGATGTCATATTTATGAAGGTCCTGAGATTTACTCTAAAACTTTAAAGAGGATTTTCTTGTTTAATTGTCAGATTGTGTGAAATATGAGCATTGCTCCTGGATGAAGATGACCTCCTCAGCACCGATCAATTCTTTTTTCTCTCTGTTAGCTTATAATAATCGTTGTCATCGCTCCAGCCGAGCCGTTGGAAAATAATCGGCATCGTTTCACATATTTACTTGGCAGACTTGAGAGAAGTTATGTATTCCTGTTGATTTGTGAGTTAGTGAAGGCGTTTCCTCCAGACGATGTGTAAACACCATTAGCTGTGCTGACTCTCATCTTTGATTTCTTTATGACTCTGAGCTTGAGCATCGCAGCAATTTGTAACTCATTTCCACCGCCTCGACTTGAAGTCTTAATTTCTCTCTCATTTTCTCTCATTTGCAGCCCTCGCTCAAAGCCTCTTACCCCCACTCCACATCTTCCGTCTGACTGAAGCTTTTTGTACGGCGACCTTGCATTACCTGCTTTTTCAGTTGTCTGCTGGAAATGAGGAATTAATGAGACGTTGCTGCTGCATCTATATCATGTACATTAAGGCCTGGTTACTTTATGAGTAGAGATCATTCTGTCTGTCTGACTTTCTTTTTGTCCCTTTTTTCTTTCTTTTTTTCCTCTTTCTATTTTCTTTTTTCATTCTTTTTTCTCCTATTCATTCCTTTTTCCTTTTTCTCCTTTTTTTTCTCCTTTTTTTATTCATTTTTTCCTTTTCTTCTTTCTGTTTCTTTTTAATCATTTATTTTTTTTTAATCCTTTTTCATTTCTTTTTTTTCTACTTTTTAATTTTTATTTTTTTCTCTTTCCCTTTTTCCTCTTTTTTTCTTTTTTCCATTCTTTTTTTCTCTGCTTTTTTCTTTTCTTTTTTCTCCTTTTTTTCTTTTTTTCTTCTTTTTTTCTTTTTTCTCTTTTTTCCTTTTTTCTTTTTCTTTTCTTTTCATTTTTTGTGCACCATTTCTGATGAGGGAGAGCTAAATTGCTAATTCTTTTTCTCCTTTTTTTTTTCTTTTTTCCTTTTCCTCTTTTTTTTTTCTTTTTTCCATTCTTTTTTCTCAGCTTTTTTCTTTTCTACTTTTTTCTCTTTTTTCTTTTCTTTTCTCCTTTTTTTATTTTTTTTATTTTTTCCTTTTTTCTTTTCTTTTTTCTTTTTTTCTTCTTTTTTTCTTTCTTTTTCTCTTCTTTATTCATGTTTTTTGCACCATTTCTGATGAAAGGAGAGCTAAATATAACACACTGCTAATGTAGTCATGTATTGTTAACCTGAGTTTTTGTTTTTTTTGTTAAATTATTGTTCAATAAATGTTTTGCTAAAAACAGAAAAAATCTTTTTTTTTTCTCCTTCCTTCCTTCCTTCCTTCCTTCCTTCCTTCCTTCCTTCCTTCCTTCCTTCCTTCCTTCCTTCCTTCCTTCCCTCCCTCCCTCTCATCTCTTCAAACGTCTCAGTCAAAGAACATCCGTCCATCCTCCCTCCCACCCTCTTGTGGTTTTCTCATCCACAGAAGCTGTGCATAATTTATCATCCTGGGTTTCTCCACCCTCCCTTTCTCCTTGGTTGTTGGCAGGCTGCAGAGCTGAGGAACAGTTGGTGGAGCACATTCTACCCCACTACCCCCAGTTTATGCCCCATTACCAAGGATGTGATCAATACCCGTCACTGGTTTACTCATCCCTCAGTGCCTGTTTGTTGGCTTACAGTGGGTCTCATTGTTGATCTACTATATAGCAATCAGAACATGCCAACAGGGTCCGCCCTCCTCTTTATGGGAAAAATTCAAGCTAATTTGACCAAATGTTTTCAGCCCGCTGATAAGTAGTCATTGTTTAGGCCCTCTTATGTACGCTGGCATAAACCTCTAGTGGAATCTGTTTGTCTTCTGTTTTCATTGGGGAGCTTATATGGACGTTAAAACCAACAAAGGATGGATTGAAATTATTAAAAGCATGCAAGTGTAAATGTTGGGTAAAAGAGTGACAAGTTAACTGGTACAACTTTCAGAAAGGAGTTTGCAGTGCGTGGAATCTCCTAATAGAAATTCATGTTAACCAGAGAGGTGGAACATATGAGAACAGGACTTTCTAATAAGCTGTGATCTGCATCTGTTTAAACTCCAGACGTCGTGTGTGAAATGAAAGTCCCATCTAGGCGCCGCTTGTCACCTAACTATCAAATTCCATTGCAGAGCTTCCTCACTCACTGATGGGAATTGGAGAGAACATGTGGACTGCAAATACAGCCCAAATTATCTATACTCCTGGCTGTTTCAGGTTTAAATATGTTGATTTAAAAGCATTGTCTGATCAGTAGTAACGCTTTAGTGTCTTGGCCTAGTCCTCATAAAAATCTGGAGGCGGAAACTAAAGATGAGGGTGATTGCAATGAGGCTTCTAACCTCAAACACTCATTAATGTCAAAATCCAAGCAGAGACACAAAAAAGCTGGTTAAGAATTATAAGATGGGGTTTGATCTTTTCCACCTTTATGTGGACATTATGGCTTGTGTCATCCATCTATCTATCTATCTATCTATCTATCTATCTATCTATCTATCTATCTATCTATCTATCTATCTATCTATCTATCTATCTATCTATCTGAAGATATATAATCTTTTTTTGTAAAAAAAAAACTATTTTGCTGGTTAGTTTCAATCTTAGATTTTTTTTTCATCTGCTGTTGTTAATTTATATAGGCTCAATTTCTTTCGAAGAATTAATTATATGAGAGGGCTTTGTAAAAAAGAAATGTATTTGTTAGAGAGCAGTTGAAGTAATACCTGGTTTTACCAACATTTTGAGTCTTCTTTATTAGCATTTTGGCTAGCTTGTAAATCTGAAGTCAGTCTCAGAACTTTAATTATCTTAACTGTGAGATTTAAAAACAAAAATGGATTACTCTGGGGAAAAAAATCACTTCCAAAGCAAACAGGGCAACAAATTAAGGAAACTTTGCTCTGCTTAGCCTTCCTGTTATTTGGTCAAAGTCTTGCTCTCCCTCTGTCTACATGCAGAAAACACAAATCGGTCTGCATTCAAAGTTTGAAATAAGATGTAATTGAATGTCTTCAGTGGCTGAAAATCTGTAGATTCTTCTCATCGGCTGATTTCTCTGTTGATCTATATCATAAACTAAATAAATACCTAAACCTGGGCACACGCTGTTAGATTTGTTTTTCCCTTTTTGGGGCGATTCTTCAGTGACGGAGAATTTTTTGAATCCGGCCGAGTTTCAGCCTCATCGTGTGTCCTACTTCGTGTTGTATCCAGGGTTTAACGATTAGGCTCTCATGACCAACTCTAGGCTTGGACTGGGAACGACTTTCGGTCCTGGCATTTTTCCATCTACACGGGCCCACTACCCCCCCAATAGAAACACAGTCAACCGCGTGCGTCTCAAATGTGAAACACAATACGAATACACATTGTGGATTAACCAATCTATCTTTAAGCATCACCAAGAATTTTATAATGCGTTTTTACTGGCATTGGTTATTAACACGGACGCAACAGTTACTGCTGCTGCGTAACGTCCACACTTGCACGAAGCCAGCCAGACACCCCCTCACACATACTAGGTCTACAACATAAGCCCAAGTGTTGTAAAAACACCATCATATAACAATACAATATAGAGGCAGACAGGCAGTTCTTCAAGAGTGAATCCATGAAAGCTTAGCGGGGTGTCAGCGTTCACTGCTAGTCTAGGTGGCATGTGGGCAATGAAATGGAATAATGCAAAACCCAATCATGCACTGCAAAATATTCAAACATGCAGTAAATTCGCCAAATATAAGAGGAACATCATAGTTTGGTTTAAAGAAAGCATAATTTAGTTTGTTGCAAGGATTCTACAGTTTGAAGAAATAGAAAATTACACCATATGCCAACCGTCACAAGGTTGTGCATAAGGAAGGGCTATATATACTGCATGCATTATTTAGGTAGTTAACATTGTATTACTTCTTAAGCTCCTTGAGTTATTTCATGTCACACATAGGTACTTTGGCCAGAGAGTAAGTTTTGGGGCCGGTATGATTTAAGGAGGGCCGCCCTCGCACGCTGAAATTAGGACCGGCCCACCGGGAAAATGCCCGGTATCACAGATTACCAGTCCGAGCCTGACCGCCTCCCAATCAGGAATCGTAAGGTCAGGAGAAAATCAAACATGTTTCAAATTCAGTCGGCCCTCGCAGGTGTTCGTGAGGGAATCCTGCTGTTGAAGCAGAGCTACAAGCATCTAAGAGCCTATTTACCAGAACCTCACCGACTGCTCATGTGCAAACAAGGGCGTTCTTCTTCCAGATTGACGAGTCGGACTAGCGCCATCTCTTGGCGCCTTGTCTGACGTTTCGTTTTTGGACGTAAAGTGTGAGCAGGTAGATCTTATCATAGCATCAGGCCATGCAGTGTAAGAGCATACATCATGAGCTGTGGACTTTAAAACTTTAAATATGCAGTCTGAGCTGTAGTTGAGTAAAATGATTGAGAATATCGTACAGTGTATGTCCGGCCTTTATCGTGAGAGGTAACTCATTTGGAAATATATATTTATTTATGATATTGTTGAATTCTGTTGCTTAGTAAAATAAACCAAAGAAAATCAACTAATTACACTTTTTAAGTTGTAGTTTAGTCATTTACAGGAGATTGTTGTTTATTTCATTACAATATTCTTTACACTGTTACACTTTATTAAGATGTCAGTAATATTGGTTGGAGGCAAATGTAAAACTTTTTTTAAATCGAAGTGGGGCCCACAAAGAAATCTTTATAAAAAAAGTTACCTGTTTTGTGTGTTTTGTTTCTCTTTGTTAATCTGATATTTATCCATTTTTGTCCCTTGCAGGTATATAAAGGTTTGGACATCATCACCAATAAGGTGACCGCTGAGGAGCGCGCCCAGTGCACACATCACATGATCGGCTTCGTGGATCCATTGGTGAAGAGCTACACTGTGGTGGACTTCAGGAACAAAGCGCTGGAGTTAATATCCTTTGTTCTTCATTCTGCTAGAATCAAACAAAAGCTCAATTTTCTGTAAGGTGTTTATGCAGCAGGAACTGTAGCGCTGAACTTGGTGCTTGTACGCAGCTCTGAGGAAACTGCCAGGATGTCTCGCTGCAGATGTTTTCCTGGAAATGATGCGAAGCAGGAGATCACTAGAGATGATATTTAGAGAGGAGTGGGTCGGGGTTGTGTATTCACACACTAGCAGACGAATGTGAACAGGCGCTGAGTCTGGGCTGTCACATGGGCTGTCACACACTCCCGCAGACGCTGACCGTCGCACAGATGTGCAGAGAGGAGGCGATAACTAGAGAGGGTATTAATAGATCAGGATGTCATAAGCACACACACACGAGCTTGTGTATTTTATCATTTTCTTGTATCCTCACACAAGTGGAGGGGTTTTTTGGGGGCTCCAAGAATAGGCTGAGTGCAGCAGGAACCTGCTGGTGGGAAGAGGAAGAGCTGAATACAGATTAGTGGGAAAAGAAGGGAAACAAGAAAGCAAGAAGGAATCTGTGTGAGCGTAAGTTTAAGGATGCGGGATTTAATGTTGCATCATTTCCCCCATTTAACATCCCAGTCTCTCTCTCTCTCTCTCACACACACACACACACACACACACACACACCCCTCCTCCTCCTTGGCTTCCAGTTTTCCATCCTCTTGATTTTAGCTGCTGCTTGTCAATAGTCGTCCCCGCTCTGCCTCAAGCACAGAGATGCAGGCTTGTAAGTGGACAAAGGGCGAGTGATGATGCCTGATGGGCTTTTATCTAGTTTGAGTGGTTATTTGATTAGCCCACAGCAAGAAGGGGGGGGGGAGGCGCAGAGGAGAGGATGAAAGGAGATGCGACAGAGGAAATGAGGTGTGGCACTTCTGTCTGTCAGACCAAAGAGCATTTTCTTTTTCTTTTTTTTCCCCCAATTTCTCCATTTTATTGGATTGGAAATACAATTTTTTTAAAAAAAGATTTAAAACAAAGGAGTAAAAAAAATCATGAGGTGATGGTAAAGTTTACTGAATATAATATACGACGTCAAAATCCTGATCACAGTGCAAAAGAAAACAATAACAAACCTTTTTTTTCTTTTATTTGGATTTTCTTTAAAAGCAGGTCAATTCTTCCCTACTAAAGAAAATCATGTCCACAGCATGATGTCGCCTCTGCCGTGTTTCCCTACCATGGTGTATTAATGGCGATTGTTGGTTAATTGCAACATGGAGCGTTTTAGGTCGTATTTGACCTATGTCCTTTTAATCAGAAATTTTTTATGGGTTTTAGAGTTGTGGACAGACTTTTGTAGCTCTTCCACTGGACCGGCGGCTTCTCAGGTAGAACAGGACTCCCTCATGTCTCTGTCAAAATCAGTGGTTCTGCTCTGCATCAGCTTCTAAACCTCAATAAACATCTGAAGCTGCATATACCCATAGAAGGGACTGAATCTTGTTTCCAGTCATAGGAAGTACCATGCACCAATCCTCAAAGAGAAAAACTGATAACTATACTTAAAAATATTGACTTTAGTGATTTGTGCAGATCAAATAGGGAAAAGCCCTACAGCTAAATGGAATAAAAACCAAACATGTCAAACATGCCTGTGTATTTTTCTCCATGCATGTCAGTTGCATCCTGGGGCCACCATAAGAAAACTAGCCAACAGAGAAAAAAAATGGGCTTTTTCTTTTTGTTGTGTCATCACAAACAAGAACTAATGGAGATAAACTAAATTAATACATAAATAAACTTGAACATCAGCTAGAGCCATAAAGGTTGGATCTATAGCAATCAATCATCCAGGTGGGTTGGAATAAGTCTTGCGTTTGTGGGTAGGCGGAGGACCTGCTATGCTACAGGCCTGGTCACTTCCAGGACATTTTAAAAGAAGAGATGATGATGACCTCTGCTGAAAGTCGATTGTTGCTCCGATTATTATAGATTAAAACCAAAACATCCAGAGAAATTAAAGGGGAACTTGTTTTTTTTTTTTTACATTGACCCCCTTGATTTTACGTTATTACATCATGTTCTACTCACCCATATGAGTTTTGTGTCATTTGGAGCTGTTCTGAAGATATTCGGGTAGGTTGTATCCAAGTAACGTCTTCCTATGGGCAACGACTTGAAGGCACAAACTAAACTGTTCATAATTTGTTCTTTATGGTACGCCAGCATTCATAGCATGTAGGGGAATCACTGTCCCCCAGACATCCGCGGTTATATTTTTAATATTTATATCTTTTAAAAACAAAGCAGCGTGTGTATGACGTCATCCACGTGCGCCGGCTACCATTCATTCATCCTGTCCGCTGAACTGTGGCTAGTTTTACTCATATGCCTGGAAGATGTCTAGTGCTACTACCACAGATGATCTCGCTCTCAGAATGGAATTGAACGATTCAGATTAGCTAGCCGAATGAATAGAAGGAGTAGAGCGTAGCTGCCTGTGGCCCGGGCTGCCTGTCACAACTCCAGTCCTCATGCACGGATGACGTCTCTTTGTTTTTAAAACATTTAAATGTAAAAAAATATAACCGTGGATGTCTGGGGGACCAGTGTTCGCCTACATGTTATGAATGCTGGCGTACCATAAAGATAAATTATTTACAGTTTAGTTTGTGCTTTCAAGTCGTTGTCCATAGGAAGACGTTACTTGGATATAACCTAACCGAATATCTTCAGAACAGCTCCAAATGACACAAAACCCATATGGGTGAGTAGAACATGATATAATAACGTAAAATCAAGGGCCCAATAAAAAAAAAACAACAAAAAAACGAAGTTCTCCTTTAAGAGACGGTTACATGTTTAACTCCTCCTGGCCAGTAGGTGGTGCACTACTTCTTGCTTGCTCTTGTTTCAACCTTTTAATTGCAATGCTTGTCTGTTGCCAGGTTTTATGACTGCTAACTGCTAGCATTAGCAAACAGTTAACTTACCTTTCCAGAAGGAAAACAACACCAGCGCTCAAAAACCCAACTGATGTTAGCTTTCTTTAATTTAATTTTTTTTATGTGTTTTTTTGGCTTTACTCAGAAATGTAACACAGAGAAGAAGCTATTTCTTAGCTGTGAGGATCTGCAACACCTGAGCTCTGGCTAATGTGGTGCAGAATCCTTTTGTGTTAACGTTGGCATGGTAACCAGAAGTACATATTTATATATTTCGGACCCATCGAAATGTTTGAAACAATAATTCCAATAATTTCGCTATGACATTTAATACTGGGTGGGCTAAACGTCCCTCTCTGTGTCATAATATAGAATTCCTTACCAATAAATGAGTAACTTAACTTAAAAATGTAATTTCTTTCCTGCAGTAGTAGCTACAATGTAGATAATGGGGAACTTATAAGCAACATCAGTAATGAAAATGCAGCCTCAAAGGTTTGATCTTCTTAACACTCCAACATAGATGACATGCACAGCAGAAACAAGCTGCCCATCATTGTTGGAGGAACAAACTATTACATTGAGTCCCTGCTGTGGAGAGTGCTGGTGGACTCAGGGGTGAGAGCTGCAAATACACCACTCAACACAATCCTGCTGTTCAAATCCGGAAATACTTTTTATAGTCCTCATTCACCTTTAAGTCAGACATTAAGATTCAACTTTGTGCAATCTGATGTTTTGGAAACCTACATTTAACCCACCACTACCCAAGAGAAGCTTTGAATCCACTTTTTTTATGCTAATGACGCGATGCATAATGTTTTCAGAGTACATTTGGCTAAAGCAAAAATCAAAAAAGGAATGAATAATTCAAGCTGTTTGAAACGAACATGCCTCACAGCAGGAGAACGAGGACTCTGGGGACGGAGCAGATGGAGGCCAAAACAGGAAGATGGAGCTGGAGAAACTGGGAGGAGAGGAGTTGTATAAAAGACTGATGGAGGTGGATCCAAAGATGGCGTCCATGCTTCACCCAAATGACAAGCGCAAGATAGCCAGGTGATACATCTGGTAATGTCATCCGCTCTACATGTTACACTTTAAACCTTCTTTAAACGCCTTCGTCATCTAATATCTTTAAAATTGCCTTTCTTCTCCTATTTTTATTGCATAACTTTGAACTCATAAGGGGAAAAAAAATATTATTCAATTTCAAAGTATAGTGGAGGACGTTCTTTTTCCAGGTGGATCATCAAAATAAGTGGTCCTCCTATTTGTCAGTCATTCTGGTGATATGTTTACGTAGGGCTATCATACGTGCTCCGTCCCCATTTTTACTTACCGGTGGTGATTCTGACATAGTGGAAAAATTGCAAATCTTCTTTTGGAAAGTAAGCTTGTATGAGTGAGGCAAACAGAAACTTTTTAACTCCTAGAGAAATCACATTTAAATGTCAAATAATTCTGGTCTAAACATGTATATAATTGTACTCTTTATCAGACTATATTGTCCCAAAAGTTCAAAAAATTTCATTATAAAAAAAAAATCCTGTCTTCAAATCTGTTTGTTTTTTTTTCGTTATTTTATGCGGGGTAGTTAGTTATACGTCAGCTCGTATGCCTAATTTCGGCCAATCATATATAAACGGTCATCTGTCAATCAAATTTTGATCATCTTGATTCATATGTCGCAGTTAATATACATAACCTTTGAATTGAGAAATAAGAATAATTTACTTTACCATTGCGTTCCGTCCCAGTGTTCACGGGGATGGACGTCTGTGTCTTCAGAGGGCGTAGAGCTAACAGAACTGGCAGCGTTACGAGGCAAGGGCTCAAACATGTACGGCTGTAAGCCTTCTACACCAAACCAAGCTTCTGCCGCTCTGGCGTCCTCTTCCACAACATCTTCATCCCCACTTTCCTCCTCTAAATAAAAAATGTACGACAGAGGAGACTCATCCACAACCTCCGACACAAAACTCTCTTCCTCTTGCATGTTTCCGCTGTCCATAGCGTTCCTTGACAGTGTAGTTTCTAAGTCACTGATTTAGTGCTACTTGGTTCCAATGGAATTTTCCATTGGGAACCTACTAGCACTAAGTTGCTAACTGGTTAGCAAGATGCTTCCGACGAACCGGCCACAACCAAACTAGCTTGTGAACCTTCCGCCACAACAATCCGCCGCTAGTTGTGTTTATATCAAATGTTTAGTGACTGTGACATTAATTTAACATGCGTTAGCTTGCAGCTTGTGTCTGCTCGTTAGTGAATATTAGTGAGTATATGAATGGGCCCATCTCCCTTGGTGGCCATTCCTGAGATAGTGAATCTGTGAATGAGTGTCTGTTTTTGAATGCAATTAAGTTTCTGTGAGGTCCCTATTAGCCTTTAGCTCTCTGCATCTCTTTATCATACTAATCCCATTTCGAAAAACTTTTTGCCATAATCCTTAGTCCCCTGCACCACTCTCATTCCAAAAATCGTCATGTGTCCCAATACAAAAATCAAACTTACACCAGGACACAGATAGAGGGTCAAATTAAACATATACAGCCTTGATGCATCTAGTATTCCAGCTTTGTGAAGTTATGGCTGAGACAGGCCTAATGCAGCCGCAGAGGAGAGAACTCTAAATCAGCTTATTTGTGTATTTCAACACTTTTTAAAGAAGTAGAAATCCTTAATAATAAAGGTTGCTACTATGTTTGCTCTAATATCTGTTGTATATTTAAAATTCTGCTGCTTATAATGACTTGGGTTGAATTAGCTTACATTTTTAGCGTCAAATTAAAAAGCAAAATACTCTCAACATGGCAAGAGAAGCAGCTATGCCTCTTTTTTAACTTAAATTAACAGTAAATTTGAACAGCTTTGCCTAGTTAGTTTTTGCACAAATATCTCCTACTATTTTAGTCAGAGGTAAGACCAGCTCAATAACTTTATATTTACTCAGAGACTATATTCTATTAAGACGAATTTGAACAATATCCTGCTTCGGCTTTGACAATGAGTTGTATACACAGCCCCAAACTCATAAGCCATAACTTACAACAAAAAGCCCACCCGATGGATTGCTTTATTAGATCTGGAAGCTATTTCTTGTTTTTTATTACAAATCATAAAGTTGTTGCTGTTGAATGCCATGGGTGCAAAGGGAAACGAAAGAAATCAAAGACTTGCCCTGAGAAAAACAAAACAGTTGTATAGAAATAAATCAGCTACTGACTAAAGTTTAACTGATATTTATGAACAATATCTTGCAGATTGCTGCTATTTTATGAGACAACAGAAATATTTCAACTGCTAATTAGAAATGGCAGATCGGTTCACCTGATTCGCCTAAAATAATCTCATAGATTTAAACCAAATGTTTTGAGTCATGCTGGCATCCAGAATTTTAATGCATGGCATTTGAAGTCCTGTTAATTGTTGCTTTCAAGCAGTCCTTGGCATTAGCTTTGCTGCACACGTTGATGTTGCAATAACGCCTGGGATTCGATAGATTCGTAAATCATGGCGTAAAGCCCTACTGTGTATGTGTGAGCAAGCAGGTTTTGCATATAACAAAAAGCTAAATAATGACCCTTTTAACTCTTGCTTTAGGATCTTACGTTAGTGGTTAGCATATTTAGCTATACTATTTGCAAAATTCAGCCTTTTTAATGTATTCCCCTGAGAATGAAGAACTTTACTTGAATTTAGAGATTTCCAGAAGGCTTCCAGCTCGTCCAGTTCCAGGATGTTTCACATCACAGAGGCTGAAACCACAAAATAATTAACTTTTCTAGAATAACATATTGAAAACTTGCTTGACTCCCTCTAATAAGGTTACAGGTTGTTTTCTTACAACAAAGGTCGTAAAAAAAATCAGGTTTTAAGCGACAAAACTTGAAAGGCAAACATCGATGGAAGAGTAAAAGTCTTGCTTTCTATTGAAGAAGTCTGAACGGAAAATCAACATGTCTCAGTTTCTTTGTTATAGCTACTTATGCCTTTCTGTGCCTTGTCTTCCATTTTAAATTCTTCTTCAGTCAATAACCACTCACCAAAGAGCTCTACCTGTTAGCCCTTACATACGGTGCGTTAGCCAACCAGAAACTGATATGACTTCAGAGTAGCCGGTCAAGCTGTGCGTCAATCACATTGATCCTGGCAGCTGATTTCTTTACCTATAAAATCTGTACAGTTGGTCGTTCAGCACCTTAATGTCACAGTTTCTCCCCTCAAAGCAAACTGTTATGTGTTGTGCACATTTCCTCCTGCAGCTAACTGACGGCACAACATAATGCTCCCACTACCGTGCTTTACAGTTTGGTTGTTCTCTGGCTAATATCCTCGGAATGTAGCACTGGTCTTCATACCCAAACA